CACGTGACGCTGGTCACGTTGCAGCGTTGCCGCGACCGTCTCATGACTGCCTCTGGAGGGTTGCGGCGCTGCGGCGCCCCGGGGGCTCGGGACTGGACCGTCGGGACGCTAGGCTACGCCAGGCTGCGCCAGGCTACGCTGGGCGGCGCGCTGCGGGACAGGCCGGCCTCCGCCTTCGCCGGGGGCTGCATGGCTGCGCCAGGCTGCGCGGCGTGGAGCCCTGCTCGCTGCCGAGGCGGAGGGCGGGGACGGCGGCGGGGTGGTGCGGGCGGCTCGCTTTCTCCTCCATGCACACGCCCCAGCTCCGCGTTGCGCCGCGGCCCGCCGCCCCGCCAGGCCGCCACCCCGCCGCGTCCCCATTGGTCGGCGCCGCGCCGGAGAGGGAGGCCGCCGACGAGGAGGGTGGTGAAGCAGGCGAAGCTGGCGGGGACGCAAGCGGGCCGCGGACGCATGCGCGCCGACGCCCTCCGCTACGGCCCCACCCCGCCAGCAGTCCATTGCCGTCGAGCCGCGATTTTGTCTGCCAGATTTCAGACGAAAAGGGAAAAGCGCTTCTGCACTTTTCCGGAGGCTTTTCCGCTTTTCGCTTTTCAGCGCGGATGTGTCGCCCGCACCCCGCCGCGCCTGCGATGCCTTTCCGACGGGCAGGAACGGGGACACCCTTGCAGTGCAGGCCACCATGCGCCGCTCTTGTCGTTCTGTCTCTCTCGCACTCACGGGGCGTCCCGAAAGGGCGCAACAGAGACAGAGCGACGAGGGCAGTGCTCAGCCTGCAGGCCGCGCGATGCAGGCCAGTCGAACAGGCCTGCGACCGGGACTGCCTGCCCGCCGGGCGCCGTCGCACAGTGGGCCAGAGGACCGGTGGAGGCGGCCAAAACTCTAGGCGCGTTTTGAGCTCCAGAGTCGCTAAATGGGACTCGAATCGACCACTACAACGGCCGTCTTCCTCTCCTTCTGCCCGGCAACCCGATAATCTCCGTTCGCCTTCGTGGCAGCGCAGCAGACTGATTCCGAGAGTCGTCTTCGTCGCGCTGCCTCTCTCGCACCTGTATGGGAGTCCCCATGAGTGCGAGAGAGACAGAGCGACGAAAACGACTCTCGAAATGAGTCTGCTGGCTGCGCATGGCGGCACGGCCCCGGATTCGCAGCCCGACCGACGCCACGCCGACGTTGGGCGTGAAAAGGGGAAGATGACACGCCGCGACGGGGACGGGACGGAATCCCGGGAAAAGCGGAGCGCCGCGTCGGCAGACTGGTTCAGAAAGTCCTATTCGTCGCTCTGTCTCTCTCGCACCCAGGCGGGACGCCCCATGAGTGCGAAAGAAACAGGGCGACGAAAACGACTCTCGGGATCGGTCGGCTGCCTCGCGCGCCGCCGCCCCGCCGCGCCCGGGACTGGGACTGGGACGTCGGAGACGTCAGGCTGTCAGTCAGGCAGCGAATTATGCGCTCGGCCCGACTTAGTTTCGCTAATGACTTTCCTGTCACGGCTGGTTTTGCCGCTTTTTCCAGACGCCGCGTCGTCTCCATCCCGGTGCTCGTCTTTCAGAGCCACCGCGGGGCGGCGCGGCGGCGCAGAGGATGAGAAATTCGCCGCGTCAAAGTGTCGGCCGGGGCGAAGCGGCGGAGCGAGCGACCCAACCGAACCGCGAACAGTGCTTTGCCGCTGTCTCTCTCGCGCTCTCGGGGCATTTCCGCACGGGTGCGAGAGAGACATACGGCCGGCCGCTGGCCCTGGAGGCCCTGGAGGAAGACGACGTCGACCACGTCGCGGTGAGGCGGGGCGAGGTTCGACCGGCTGGACCTCGGTTGGCGGTAACCAACTGCAGACTGATTCCCAGGACCGTTTCCATCGCTGTCTCTCTCGCACCTACTCGGCCCGCCCCACTAGTGCTAGAGGCACAGAGTGACGAAGACGACTCTCGGAATCAGTCAGCTGGCAAACCAGGGATCCTTAACTTACCTCATAAGGGCATCATAACGTTATCATAAAAGTTATTACCCTTAGCTTCTAACATCTTTTCAAAAGGGTAAGTTATTTTTTTATGTCTCGAATTTGTGTGGATATACTTTTGCAAGTACTTTCAGAAGTCCGAACCCTTAACCTATAGCGAACATTGTCTTGTTACGTTATGACAGCAGTGTTAGTTAAATGTTGAGTTAAGTTAAGGATCCCTGTAGCAAACCGGGTCGCGAAATTAAGACAAGACGGGCCCCGCGCCCTCGCTCCGTCATACAAGATAGACGCCGCCAGTCCGCCTGATGACTGCGGAGCGGACTGCGGTCCCCAGCGCCCTCTCCTGGCCGAGGGCCTTCAAGCCTCGAGCCTTGAGGTCAGCGTGCAGAGCGGTGCAGAGCGCCTTGGCATTATTCCGAATCAAGCTCCTGGAACGTGTCTGAAATATGTACGGCGCGGCGCTCGCTCCGCTCGGCGTGCTCCTCGCGGCCCCGGCCGTTCAAACAGAGGAAGTACGAAACGCAGAACGCAGCGCGACGCAGCGCGCGGAACCAGGGAGAAGGAACCAGCGGACTGATTCCGAGAGTCGTTTTCGTCGCTCTGTCTCTCTCGCACCCTTGCGGGGCGCGGCGACAAGAGTGGGAGAGAGACTGCTCGGAGTCTGCTGCGGCAGCACGGTCTGAAGGACACATGCCGACCCGCGGAAACAGTGCCCTCATCGCTGTCTCTCTCGCACCCCGACGAAACTCCCAACGAGTGTGAGAGAGACAGAGCGAGGGGCGCACCGTTTGGAATCAGCCTGCCCAGGCCTGCCGCTCCACGGCCAGAAAATGACATCCCGGCAGCGGGCCGACGGACCGACCAGGGAGGCAGCAGCATCAGGAATGAAGAGGAGGTCGGCGAGATTTGGCGAGGGCCACGTTCCGCAGCAGCAGCAAAAAAAAAAAAAAAAAAAAAAAAAAGAAGAGAAAAACTAAATCCACCCCCTCGATGTTTCCGGAAATGCACCTGTTCCTTCCGGAAGTGCGGTCCCGGTCTCTTTCTCCCGGTTTTCACGCCTGCACTGTAATGCAGTCGTGTTGTGACGCCGTAATGCTCGCATGTAATTCATCTTCGCGCTTCGTTAGTTCTGGCCGGGGGAGGGAGAGAGAGAGAGAGAGACAGACAGAGGGAGAGGGGGGAGTGGCTTCCTAGCTTCACCTACCCCCTGCCAGCGCGCTTTACAAAACACCGCGGGGAATACTAAAACACTCGACAACACAATGTCCCCCTCCCTCCCGCGCCCTCCCCTGCCTCTCCTTTGACTTGGTCGTTTTGATGGATTAACTCAACGCGTGTTCCCCTTGCCCACCCCCGCACCCCGCCCCAGTCGTATCTCTGGCGGCGGTACTTTGTTTTCTCCGTCTCTCTCTCTCTCTCTCTCTCTCTCTCTCTCTCTCTCTCTCGCTCCCTCTCTCCATCTCTCTCGCTCCATCTGTCGGTGGCTGGTGTAACGCGTCCCAGTGATAAAGCGCTGCGAATAAAAACGTCCTCTCTGACTTATCTATGTATATCTGGCGCCCGGGCTTTCACCGCCACTGCACCGCCAATGCCGCGCGTCTCTGTCGCCGAGCTACCAACAGCAGGCTGATTCCGAGAGTCGTTTTCGTCGCTCTGTCTCTCGCGCACGCATAGGGCGTCCCGTGTAGGTGTGAGGGAGACAGAGCGACGAAAACGACTCTCGGAATCAGTCTAGAGCGCGCTGCGCGGCGATGCGCGTTGTCCTGTCGACGCCGACACGCCGCTGACGGACTCGGCCGTCTCGGCCATACCCCGCACCGAAAAGCGTAAAATGAAACTTGGGACCTTTTTCTTGTATCGCTCCGCAGACATTTGGTTCTTCGCGCGCTTATTCCGTGCGGAGTGCGCGAACAGGTCGGCCTTTCAAAGCGAGCGCCTCTCTGATAGGCCAGGAGAGGCCTTTGTTGCCCGGATTGGTAGCTAGCCTCGTGGTGCGTAGAGCCCTGCATCAATCCGAAGTGGACGTAGGGCTCGCCGTGGCGGGTAGGCCGCGAGGTGAGGAGCCGCGTCGCGCGGGCCGGCATACCCCTGCCATTACCATTACCATTACGGGCTGGGCCAGGCGCTGAGGACTTGGGGAAGGACACCCGGACGCGTCGAATGGGTTGCCTATCCCAACGGCGCTCCGCCGCCTGCCGAGCGATTCTGGCGAGGGTATACAGGGGGATTGTCGCTGTCTCCCCCGCACCCAATGAGTGAGACAGAGACAGAGCGGCGCACAGTGGGCCAGAAGACCGGTGAGGCGGCCCAAATTCTAGGCGCGTTTTGAGCTCCAGAGTCGCTAAATGGGACTCGAACAGAACGTATGACCCCACCAATGGACGGCTCTCCGAACGAGGAATCCATTGGTGGAGTCACACGTTCGCTTCGAGCCCTGTTTAGCGACCCTGGAACTCAAAACGCGTCTAGAATCTTGGCCGCCTCACTGGTCTTCTGGCCCACTGTGTGACGCTCGGCAGTGGGTATACAGCCTTCCCAGTCTCGGTTCTTTCTAGAAATGATTGTCCAACGCGAGCGTTTCTGCAGCCATGCACGGATCATCCAATCCAGGATTTTCGAAGAGTTTCATGTCAATTCGTTTGGCCTAATTTCCTGGCTGCATTATCGCATCCGAAAGCGGGGACTCTCTCTCTCTCCCTTCCGGTCCCCGCTGCGTGGGCCTCTACGTGGGCCTCGCGGCACGGCGTACGGCGTGGCACTGGGACGCATTTATCACTTGGCAGGGGAAGGCTGTGGCACGCTTCGCAGCCTCGGCCTCGGCATGGCAGTACAGGGCAATGCAGGGCCTGCCGCCTGACCTGCCCCTTCTCACCTCCGAGTCCCCGACATTCTCGACTTGTCGCGACTATTCCATTTTACCCATTACAGTTTTCCACCTATCGTAAGTTGGAGCCGATTTTTAAAAAGCCTTGACATTTGTAAATGAGAATTGTCTCTGTTTGATACATTTTGATAGTGGATGTGGAGAAAAAATAAAGTTTGCTTTAAGTTGAAAATACATATATTACATCTTTACAATCCTCAGAGCACAGTAATCCTGTGTAATAAAATATATACATCACAGAAATGTTTTATGCCAAATACATCCCCCCATCCAAAGATCACTCAACATCCATGTTAATGCTGGCAAGGTCTATGTCACCACCCCACATGTCTTCTTCTTCCGCCTTCTCAATTTTCACGGATTTGTTGGTGGGTGTGTGGCCGTAGCTCGATTGGGTGGACGACTGGGTGGACGATTGGCTTCCAGCTGAACAAGAAAACCAAGATCAGTTAGTTGAGAGTGGAGCAGAGAGGAACACTTACGGGAAGATCTAAACAAATTGATATAGGTAAACCAAATTTTTAATGTCCTTACATTCTACTTTGATGCCAGGTTTGTTCCCAAGGGCAACCTGACTTTCTTCAAAGTATTGGTTTGGGTGCTGTATGCCACTTGATGGTTTCCCATGAGTTGCTTCAAAATATCTCCCACAAGCAACCTGATAATGGCTATTCTTCACAAGATCAGATATTTCTGCAACATCTGGAAGAAAATAATGAAAGAATTTAGCATTAGTAAGATTTTGCCTTGAAACTATAGGGAGAATGAATTTGACTGTTTAAAGAAAACCTACATTGAGGTGAGAGACCATAAGCTTGTAATTTGTTGGCCAGGATTTTCACATCAGAATGCTTGTAAGGACATCCATGAAAATCTCCTGGGCCAACACTTGAGCAAATTATTTTCATGCAACTGTATGGTGTGTAATTTGTTCGTTTTCCTTCCTGTCCATAGTTGTACCGAACATTGTAAGCATACTGCTTTTCAAACTGCAACCAACAAATTTTCAAAAGATAAACAAGGCGTCCTGAAATGCTACAAATTTTTTTAAATATGCATTTGAAAATTAGCTGTTCGTTTTAATGAACTTGAAACAATTTCCTGACCTTTTCAACATCCATAGATTTAGTGAACTCATCACGCCAAAAGCGCATTGCATCTTGCAGAGTCACACCAATGCCTTTCAGAAATAGGCCATACTGTAATCGGCCCAAATGGCGCAAATGATGGTTGGCACGTAGAGCGTCATGAAGAAATCTCATACACAATGGATATGAAGTTTTGGCATGCTGTGGGATGAGATTAAAGGAATCAATAAATTTTCACTCTTGACAACCAGATAAAATAAAAGTAAATTGAACAGGGCATCACCTTGTCTAAGTCTTCAATGCAGATTTCCCCACCTTTGGGTGTTTTGAAATCGTCTCCTGCATAACTGGTGTGTAGCCCTTTAAGGAGAGGTGCCAACCTTTCATCATCAATACTAGGAAGCCGTCTGTAAGTCATCTAGAAGCAAAAACACCCATTATAAAAACAAAGGACTCCACAAAATTTGAAAAATGTTGCATATCACAAGATTACAATAGTGTACCATCAAAGCCTGTCCCAATGATGCCCGAAACACTGACGACATGACTGCAACAAATTCAGAGCTCGGAATGTATGCAAATCCAGCATGAACAAAGACCTTGCGAGATCTTACAAGTTCCAATACATCAGTAAAAGGTACACGGAAGAAGTCTTTCTCTGACAATAAAGACATTGACATATTGTATGTTGAGTCGCATAATCCTTCTTTCACAGTTTCTTTTTCCTCTGAAGATATCTGCAAAGTATTATTAAAATAAATAAAACCATTCCGTTAAAAGTTGCAAGACACATGAAATTATGTAACAAGTTTATTACAGGGGAGTAACAGAGATTGTTAAGATTCAGGAATGCCCGAACTTCTTCAGCATTCAATGACATAAAACGTAGCTTGAAGAGATCTAGTTCACGAGCTATAAACCAGCGCCGAAGATCATCTGTTCGGCAATATGCTAATCGCAAGATAAAGTGAGACAGATGATCCCGCTTGCGATACTGCACTTCAGCTTCAGTCTGCTTACAGGTCGGAGCAGTACTCTAAAATGAACAAAACAGAGAGAAATGAAAAAACTCATGGATGTAAAAGTACCATAGTGCAATGGAAGAAAAAGATTCTGCACTACGTACTATTTTAAAGATATGTTTCAAGCCTTGCTTTGTCAATTCTTCACAAAGGGCAGCCTTCCATTCATCAGAAAATTTATTGGCTCCCTTCAAGTTTGCCAGTTCTATACATCTCAGCACTGTTGTGAAAGAAAATAATTTCAGAGGATTAACAGAGCATTACAGTGCAATTTGTTTTTGCTGAACTTAAGATGAGACAGTAAACAGAATATTAATGGAAAAAATACCTTTTAGCCTTTCAAGAGCTAGTTCCTCAAATGCGGATAAAGTTATGTCACTGATAGGAGGAACAAAATACATTTGCAAGTTGTGAGGGTATAGCTCTGTCAGACTGCCCGTAGCAACCTTAGGGACTTTTCTGCGGCGGGAAATGTCCATATTGCTGAAAATGGGAGTTACTGTTAGAAAGATGTAGTGAACAAAGATAAATGTAAACACACAAAAAATTAAACAACAACAGTACCTAGGTTAAGGATGTTGCACTACTGTAGTAATACGATAAAAAGCTCTGGCAAGGTATGCAGGTAAAAGCATCCACGGCCCAAGACTGAGCTAGATGATCTTCGTTAGTGTAAGATGATTATCAATGAAATCAACGTCAAATAAGCTTTACTTTCAAGATTAAAAGGAAGTTCTGTAGTACGGAGCCAAAAACTCTGTTGGCGCCAAAATCGGCTGCTAGCGATGGCTGAGGCGCACCAACCTGACGACAACAACCAAGGCGTTCATGTCGGGTATGCACACGACAACAAAATGATAGGAAAAATTTAAAAACACTAAAATTTTTATGAAAGCTTTTTTTTCACAGACGTGACAGGAAAGCCCGGTTCACCCTCTTAAATGATAATTGTTTTGCTTTCTACGTTGGCGATGCTGGAGTTCCTTCGACGCCTTCTAGCACCTGTCACTCACGGCTTCGTGGTCCGTGAGAAATTTGCAGCGCAGCAGCAGCAGCGATGCGGTGATGAATGGCGATGCATCCGTCTGTTCGTTTCATTGAGTGAAAATGCGACTTTGCTATGTGAGGTGAAATGTGTTTAGGTTTGACAAGTGTGTGCGGTGGTTATTTCTGCGCCGCTCCAGATGTGTTGTTGGCTCGCCTTCATCGCTGTGGGCTCTCAAGAGGATAGGCCTAAATCGTGGACAAGCCACCCTAGGTCCCCTCGGTTTCATAATGGCTGCAAATAGAAACCGAGCTACTCAACACAAAAATATATCATCAATTTTGTCCAAACTGCATGGAGCATTTGCTGACGCGATGGCGCCGCCCAAATTAGCGACGGACAAGAGAACTTTAGACAAAACATGGAAACTTATGGACAAAGTGGTGAAACTCTGTCAACATCAGAAAATGAACCTCAAGAACTCTCCTCCTTTCATTTTGGACATTTTACCGGATACGTACCAACGTCTTAGATTAATTTATTCCAAATATGAAGATAAGATGATTGTGCTTCACAGCAACGAGCACTTTAATGTGTTTATTGTAAATCTGATGAGAAAATGCAAACAGGCCATCAAGCTGTTCAAGGAAGGAAAAGACAAAATGTTTGATGAGAACTCACATTACAGAAGAAATTTAACTAAACTGAGTCTTGTGTTCAGTCATATGTTGAGCGAGCTAAAAGCAATATTCCCCAGTGGAACATTTGCTGGAGATCAGTTCCGAATCACAAAAAGTGATGCTGCAGATTTTTGGAAAAACAACTTTGGTAACAGGTAAGGTTATGATATTCCAAGCACTTTCTCAACAACTGTTACTTTAATTTCTCTCTAATTTCCATGCTATCATTATTTGATCCCAAGTTTAAGATTGTATTCCCAATAATTCCTTTTGGTTCTTCTTGTATTTTATCCTGTATCTTAAGCACATTTAGGACTAACTTACGTTTGTTTAAATTTGCAGTACTCTTGTTCCATGGAAAATTTTCCGGCAAGCATTAAATGAAGTGCATTCCATCAGTTCTGGATTAGAAGCCATGGCACTAAAATCTACCATTGACCTAACTTGTAATGATTATATCTCAAATTTTGAGTTTGATGTATTCACAAGGTTTGGAACTGTTATATCTTTGGAAACCTAAAATATTTATATTTTCTCTTTATGCAAAATGGTTGTTATTGTTCTGTGATTCCTTTTTCAGACTTTTCCAGCCTTGGACAACTCTGCTCAGGAATTGGCAGATCCTGGCAGTTACTCATCCAGGTTATGTTGCATTCCTTACCTATGACGAGGTCAAAGCACGGCTTCAGAAATACATTAACAAACCCGGAAGCTATGTTTTCCGATTGAGCTGCACAAGGCTAGGGCAGTGGGCAATTGGATATGTCACAGCAGATGGGGACATTTTACAAACTATTCCTCAAAATAAATCTCTCTGTCAAGCGCTACTTGATGGGTACAGGGAGGGTTTGTAAGTACAATGCTTTTTTTGTTGTAAGTTTTTTTCTGAATATTGCATTTTTCAACCTTTATATATTTACTTTTGTGATTCATTTACAGTTACCTTTATCCGGATGGTCGGAATGTCAACCCTGATCTATCTTGGGCCGTTCAACCTACTCCTGAGGACCACATCGCTGTTACTCAAGAGCAATATGAACTCTATTGTGAAATGGGCTCCACATTCCAACTGTGCAAAATTTGTGCAGAAAATGACAAAGATATTCGCATAGAGCCTTGCGGGCACTTACTTTGCACACCATGTCTAACATCATGGCAGGTATGTGTCACTATCACAGCACTTGACTGTTTTCCAATTTTTTATCATTCCTCTGAAATGAATTTCTATACTTTTCTGATATCTCTGTTCTCGTCACAGGATTCTGAGGGTCAGGGTTGCCCATTTTGCCGAGCAGAGATTAAAGGCACTGAACAAATTGTTGTAGACCCATTTGACCCGAAACGACAGCATAAGGCTAGTTCTCTACAACAAGTTGTCGACCTTGACGATGACGATGGCGATACTTCAGAATAGCATATAGCCTCCGCTGCCGCCTTAATAGATTCCACCTCATCCGCTTCTTCTTCTCCTGTACCACCACCAAGGCCTCCAAGAACTGATACACCTCCGTGTCCACCGCGGCCTCCCAGGTATGGGCGGCCACCAAGACCTCCTCGACCACCTAGACCACTTCTGCCTAAATCATGAAACTTTTATAGGAGTTGTGTTGTCAGTGTTCTTCTTCTGGTGGCCTTAAATGGAAGCAATAATATTTAGTGGTGGTTGGTTCTTTGTTTAGCAGTATCAGTGTTGTGTTCACTTCCAAGCTTACCTTGTGCAGTTTAGTACCAGGCTGGGCCTGGTATTTCTTGTTGTTTGATTTCCATTTTATTGCTAGGCTGGTCCTGGCTATGCTGCTTCATATGATAAATGTTGATGTTGATTCCCTTTTTAGTAGACTTATCAAGTATATATTTTTAATATTGACAGAAGTGGAATATTCTAAATAACAATGGTTCAAATTGCAATAGGTAGGCTTGGACTGAACTTTGGTTAGTATTTACTCTTAGCTCTTCGGTGTTAACTGGAATGCTGAAGACCTATATGTTTTCTTACATTTCATTCGCATCCATACTTGAATGGCTATAAACCATTTCAGTTCCTATCAGTACCAATTTGGTTGGACATCACTGACTCATATCATTCAAATCTAATCATAATTCTGTTCTCAGCATGTCTGCATTTTCAGTCATATTTGTTATGGACTTGAGGATCTAAGTTTCATCATTGGTCATAATCCTCTAACCTTGACTGTGAAAAATGTTTATTTAGTTTGCTGCATTTCTTTTCACTTATTTCATTTTTGTTGTTGCTGATTACACTGAAGTTTGCACTAGGTGAAACAGTTCTTCCATCGTCTGAAGTGTATGAGCTTGTATTGTTTGTAAACATTATCATCCGCAACTGTATCTATTTAAATGCACACTAGTTGCTTAAATTGTGTATAATTATATTGATTCATGCTTTTATATATATGTATACATATTTATAATTTCTCTTTATTTCCTCTTAAAATGTTAATCTCATCCTCAAATTGAAATGAAATAAGAAAGCAGATTATCTCAGTTTGACTGAGTCAGCAAATGTTCCTCCGAGGTGTAATTTCATAGGGTGGTAGCGGCAGCGGTCCAGAACGACACATTCCTTTCAGTTGACTGACCTTCAACTGTTTGGTATGATTTTTAAAGTGTTCTGTGCTAAAATTGTGTGATAGCAAGACTCAAAAGACATTGTTCATAGTTTGTTGTAACCTGAATTTCATTGAAGATCAAGACATATATCTTTGATGTTATGTGAATTCTACTTCATGAAGTGAACTGAGTGTGGTATTGAGTGTTGTACCTGTTTTTCATGCTTATATTTCTGACACATGTTATGTTGTCGGAGTTGTAATTTGTTAACGTATGGAAACAAGTTTAAATACTTGCAATAGTGGAGTAATTTAGTTTAATGCGCTCTCTGTCTGGAACCTAATCATCAGGGTTTCCGCGAGTAGTTACTTCCCCTTTGTAAAAATTTAGTATTTTATTTTTCAGACTTTTTGAAGGAAACGTTTTACAAGTTCTTAATTCTGATCAAATTTATAGTAGAGCTACTTATCTTCTATTTTATGGATTCAATATGGATCCACGGCGGCTCACTTTTCTCCTACTTTGTGGATCTAACATGGGTCCATGGCAGCTCATTAAAAGCGCTAGCAAAATCAATCAATTGTTTTAATGTATATTTACTTGTGAGTTTTATTTTTTTTTTTTTGTTACGTTTCTTTTAGTTTTATGAGAATTTTTATCATGTGTTGGCTGTGGTATAATTCATATAAAGATGAAATGGAATAAGAATGCCCTTTATTCAAGTCCCTCGTTGCTCTTGCCATTTAATTGTTCTTTCATGTTGCTCATAGCTCCATTAGAAATTTCTCTGTAGACTCTCTTCTCTGATCGTCTTTACTTGAATGCCACTGCTAGCCCTGCCTTTTGTCAGATAAAGCCAGGAACATATTGGAAAGAAGAACATGTTTCAGGCAGTGTATTCTTCAATGCGCTTGTATGTTCCTCATGTTATTTGTTAAATTATGCCCTTAGCTGTTCTATAAATTCATATTTTTATGCAAATTCTGTACATGTATTTTTTATCTGTTAAATATGTTTCTTACTCATAAATCTTATAAATGACCAAAGAGCGGTTGTTGTTACTGCATTTGCATGGATGACTTTCATTTCTGTACGTTCTGTTAACTAAGGTTCAAAATTTCTCAAATGACTACATTGCAAAGGTGAAATTCTTCTCAAACAGAGCTTCAGTTATGTTTCAGGATGTAGCAAAGTTCAGCTCTGGTATTTACTTTGTCCTTTTGTTGTTGACTTTCGATAAAGATGTCATTTTCTGACTCTTTGTCTTGTTGGGCCTTTGCATAGACTGTATCAAGAACTTCTTTCCTGAATCCTCTGAAGTTTGTTATTAATAATTAATCCCAATGCTACTTGCTTCGGTTTTATTATGGAAGATGCATGTTTTTGTGTGTAATAATTTTGTAGAGAATCTTGCAAGTAGATAACAAGCCACTGCTTAATATGCAAGGTTTCGGCATTCTGAATAATGTTATAATTAAATGCCCCCCTTCACCACCCTCCGTGATTGGAGAGTGACGTCGGCTAAAGTTTCTCAAATTGTGGCATTTATCTGAAAAGACTTACTTTAACTTTGAATTTGTCATAGCATAACAAAGTGACAGTGCTTCAAACCATTTGCCACAGGTAAATTGATTTTTATTTTTTTGATCATTTCAGCATCTTGCCTGTTTCTAAATCGTAATCAAAATGTGTAGACTGGGAAGAAGGATTGTATCTTCTGGAATGGACTCTGCTAGTTCTGTTACTTTTGATGGATTTGTGTGACTTCAGGTCTTCCAATGTGTCTGAGACTGATAAGCTTGCTAGCAATATTTATGCTGCCATTTAAATCAAATTTGTGTTGGAATTAGTTTATAGAGACTACAATGCCTTGCTAAATTTTTTTAGTACTTCATTGTTAATAATTTATTTTACTTCCATTTGTTGAAAACTTAACTGCTTCATTTTGCTTTAGTAATTCTTTATGAATAATCTGCTGATTCTTAACTCTTGATTACCTTATCATATCATGATCCATCCTTTATTCATATTTATAAAACCATGTAATCCTCATAGCATTTAAAATCCCTCTCATACCCAAACAAGTAACTGCAGTCCTATCATTTCATCCATAGACATCTTGAATCAACTGATGTACAACTGCGCAATTTTATCACATCTTCCTTGTAAGACCAGTAGCATTTAATCAAGTTTTTCAACAAACGCTCTGTTTGTCCTGTTAGAGCCCTTAATCCTAAGTAAATTTCACGTCACACCAATTTTCACCTTCCCAAATTCTCTATTTTACGTATTAAAAAGCTCCAAAGGTGCACTCAGCAAGGTGGATTTGTTCTGCATGGCTCCAACATTATCACTTGCAATGGTACCTGTAAAATAACAGTTAAGATAACTGGCATCATTCAATCCAAGACAATGCTGAATCTCAGTACATTTAAACTACACACTGAAAATATATGTCCATTTGGTACATTTTGTCATCTAATTTATCATTTAATTCAGTGGAAGAAAAGAAACACCTAAAAGAGATGAACTACTGTAAACTAGTGGGCCTAAGTTAAACGTTGGGATTCTGTTTTGCTTTTAGCCAGAAATTTGTGATGAAATGGGACCAAGGTAATACTTTACCAATTTGCCAATCAGCATCTTATTTTTGCATCACTCACTATTTGTTTTCAAAGCTTTTCACATCGGCCTCTCACTCAAATTCTAATAGCTTCATTAATCTTAATGAAACTGAATTTGAGGCTCTAATTTTCTCAGAACAGTTTCTGAGAACTGTTGTATGCCCTAAACTTGCCTTTTGCTCAGGTCTTGGTTCAGAGTATGAAGGAACACAAATATGTAAGCTAAGTTTCACTCTTGTTAGCATCGTGTCCACACGCCTGTGCCCTGCTGACTGCACCTTTTCTTGGTAAAGTGACAATGGCAACGTCACCCGTGCCAAATAGCTGTATATATTCAAACTAGATTAGAAATAGACTCTGTATTCTTTCCTTGTAAGTCTTAAGAGATCCTCATGCAAATGTGAGAATCATTTGGATGGTGATTGTAGATATTTTAAAAAAAAGTGTAGATAAAGTTTATTTATTTTTTGTGATGTGTGAATAGATTCTTTTCCTAATCTTATTTCATTGCAGTGTGTTAGCCAATAAAATATTTTGCATTTGTACTTGGTCAAACTATGGGTACCTAACACTGTAATTAATCCAATAGTACAGATGCAAACAAACATCTTGTTTATAGTAATAATATTAATACAGCTTTATAATGCATACAATGTGGCTTTGTGGAAACAAACTGTTCATGAATTATGTGAAGCGTTCTTCGTTTTCCAATATTGGATGAATTCTTTCATATGTTTTGTGATTGTGCATAAATTTATATTAGTTTTTTCCTGTGTTCAGTGAACTTTGGTGCCTTGCATGAGTTGCATTTTCCCTTTAAAATTGAATATTCTAAGTCTAATTCAATGTGAAATATTTTTCAAATCTATGTATTAAGAATACTGTAGGCTAGGACGCCCTCAACCAATCAACTGGTGAGCACAAATTCAAAACAATTTCACTATTGGATAACGGATCTATTATGAAATTGCCAGTGGAACTGGTGACTGATGCTAAATCTATCAATCCAGTGTAATTTGTGTAACCTTAAAGTATGAGGTCAGAAGCTACTTCTCCAAATTAAACATAATTTTACTGTTCAGTGACATATTGGTGTGCAGTTTCTAGTGAGCGGGTATTATAGTCTGCACAGTAAGGCTGATTGCAAGGAAAGTGGTTAAAATTACTTACTCCTATCTTACTCTTTTGCTAATACCCCCTGAATTTTAATACCAATCAAACTTAGTCATGTCAACATTATTCCTTAAATCTCATTTTAGATACTACTTTTCATTTTGTTGTTAGCATTGCACTCTACGTGTTTCGAAAATAAGTAATAGTTTTTACATTTTGATTTCATAGTGGCACATCTCTCCACTTCCTTTTTTGCCCCTGGGACCTCAAGCATTAAACTGCTATTCAGTTACAGAAAATTTTATCTTTTAGGTTCTTTTACTGTAGTTGAGACTTTGCGCAAACTGACTAGTTTTTAGAAAAGTTTCAAACATGTGTTGATTGCTTTTGCAATGTAACTAATTGGCATACTCTCAACAAAAGTCAAGTTATGAGACAAAGGCATGCAATGCAAAATTCTTTGTGACAATTTTATTTCTGTCCCTTTTGGATGTTATACCAAGGACCAAACCATTTTGAATTCGTGAATCAAATGCAGATTACATTTATCCTACCCTGATGTTTTGTGCACCTTATCTATTAATATTCAAGGCTTTCCAAAACTTGCTTCCTAATTTTGTTGGTAATGGGTTCTACTTAGTACCCTTTGCATGTATTAATTAGCTGGATGATTGATTACTGTGGGGTGGGAAAGTTTGCCAACACATTCAAAACCTTTTTTTGGAGATGTGTGCACCACAAGAGAACGCACATTATTTTCTCCAGTTTGAAAACCAAAAATATAATAATTTTCTGAATCCTGTATGATATGTGTGGAGGGATGTCCTTCAAGGCAAAGGTTCTGTAAGGAGAAAAGTATTTGACTAAATATCGTACAAATGCCTCATAACATTGTGTGTAATATCTTTGCCAATTGCTCGCTGGTTTTCATACTTTTTATAATGTGACTTTGGAATCTATTCTCAACTTTTTCAGGTAGTGGGCAGAGCGATACAAACCTGGTTTGATATAGCAAAATATAATTGGCTGCAATTTTTTAACAAATATATTATTCTCTTATTTGTGTACCAAACATTTGGCAATACTTCTTGTGTATACTTTTGATTAAATCTATATTTAGACTTTCAGATTTTTTAGAAGGTCAAATTGTTGTCTTGTGAGAGTTTCTTTCTAGGTGTTGTATTGAGTGGGAAAGGGGGCTGGGGGCTCCATCCCTGTGCTGTAAGGGCCAAAGGGAGCGATTGGCCATTGCTGTCCTGAGGCATGCTTTTTGCTCTAGGTGTACGCCAACCAAATCCATCTTGTTTCTTTAGAATAAAGCATGGGCAAAGCCACTATTGTCTTAATTAAATGCACTGGGTGTAGTACCTGGTGGTATTCTGTAGCCTGGAAAGTTGAGATAATTTTTGTTGTGTGAGGACTCACTGTTCATTAATTAAAACAAAAACAAAAAAGTCCACTGTTTTTCTATGAGATTTCTACCTTTTCATTTCATTATTAAAAAGGAACTGAAAGGATTTACAACAGAGAAAATACAAACAGGCTAGTTGAGTCATTTTTTTTAACGTTACATTCTTTTAAGATCTAACAAGGACACAATCACAACACAAGGCCACAAGTGCATCATCACATCAAACATCAAAGCCCATTCAATGAAAATTCCACATTCTGAAGTTCTCATAACATACAGAAAACCAGAGTAAGAGATCAAGAAAATTTACAATAGAAATTTTAAGAATACGTACTTAAGAACAAACTTTTCACATTTGAAGAAACATATATGCTTCCCATCATTGTATAATATTATACTTTAATTTATCACAAATTACACAGTAGAGGAGCACTGAAAGATCAGCATGAGACATTAAAAAGGCTAAAACTTTAATTTGCATCAACCCTACAGTAAGAGTCCAGACAAAAATCTTCTACACGAACTATATCTTCTAACATAATGAATTGTTTTAATCTTGAAGGTAGACCTGACTTGAGAACAGCTCTATAAATATTTTCGCCATGATGTTGGCGAAATCTTAAACGACATAACCCAGACAAGGACATGGGGTTAAATTTCAATGAAGCTATCCACGATGCTGGAGAGTAATTCAAACACTCACCAGGCTTCTTCACGTCGTGAATGCAATTCCATAAGTTTAACCCAGCATAAACCATCAAATGAGCTATCACAAATCTGCTTGGACGTTTTCTAAGGTAATCTTCACTTACTATTGGAGTGTGCCTTTGCAGGATATTAACATCAGCTCCATGCTGTATGAGAAGAATAAGGGCATGATCGTTATCATGGACAAGAGCTCGAACCAAAGGCACATCATAGGCTGAAGAACTCTCTACATTTAATATTCCATTCGGTCCACGATAATTTAGCAGAGATAATAGTACTTCCTTCAGCACCAAAAATTGAGCAGGGCGGAGGCATTCAACAGCTTCATGGAGGGGCGTACTTCCAGTCAATCCATTGGGGTAACTCGCCATGGCACCTAAAACACGACACAAAATATTAATGTAGTACTTCAATAATCAGGGAAGTTAACAGTGATTCATAGACAGGTTTCCTTCACCAGGAAAATGAAAAAACAAAACTTACCACTATGCAAAAGTAGATTTACCATGTTAACTTGGCCAGACCGAGATGCAATTATAAGTGGCGTATCACCACTGTCATCTCGAAGATTTACAATAGAGCCAGCTGATATGAGCAACTCTGCAATGTCCGGCCGCCGATGTAAAATTGCACAATGAAGAAGGCGATCCGAGTGTGTCAGCTTAGCACCAGCTGCCAGTAAAACTCGCACAATTTCTTTTTCCTGTTGCCATACTGCTTGACACAGAGGAGTGTAACCTGGAATTCGTACATAACAAGATATTTTTGATATCAAGTAGAAAATCTTTAAACCATAAGAAATAACTTGTGTTATATGGTTATATTGAGAGTAACACAGTTCCAAAAATATCACAGTTTCTTACCAAGAATATCTTCAACATTCACTTTAGCTCCATGAGAAATCAAGAGGGTAACCATTTCTTCAAGTCCCCTCGACACAGCAAGGAGCAATGGGGTGCGATCACTCCGATCAAGAGAATTAACAGAGGCACCATGCTGAAGGAGAATGGTTGCTGTTTCAATGAAACCTCGAGCAGCAGCCATGTGCAAAGGGCCAGTGCCATCTATACTTTTGCGATTTACTTTTGCACCACAAGAAATTAACAATGCAACAGCATCAGGGTTGTCTCGAGCAGCAGCTAAATGTAGCGGCGTAACATCATCAGAGTCTCCAACATCAACAGAGCAACCTAAAACACATACAGGATATAATTTTAGTTTCAGCTTTTTATATGTTGTATGCTTGCATGGAGTTGGACCAAAATCACATGGAATTTCTTAGTTTGTAAGAAAATGTTTGGGAAATGTTTTAACTTTACCTGCACTTATAAGTACATGCAAGACCTCCATATTGCCTTGCTCTGCAGCATAATGCATTGCACTTCGACGATACATATCTAGTTGGTTCACATCAATTTGAAGGCAAGTACCTTGTTGAACTGACATGTCAACTGTACATGATTTTGCAAGGTAGTCAGCATACCAACGGTACAAATTAACCCAGGAATCTGAATTTTCTGCATCATCACAAGGACTGTCAAATTTTTCAGGTTCAAGTTCACTGTCCCATTCAAGATTGTCCATGTCATCTGGAGTCATTGGTTCATTTGAGCAGTCTCCACAGACTGGTCTTTTTGTTTCCTCTTCTGATTTATCATTGTGCACTACGATAAAATATCCCTGATTTGGTTCTTCCCTAGTCTTGTATCCTAATTTATCTTTGATAACTTCTGAACCGCACAAAATATCACATGGACGTTGTAAAACCTCAGATGAAAGTTTATTCTCCACAATCTCCATGAGATTTTCTGATGCATTTTCAGTTTTATCTTTTGCCCTGCTGAACATTTTATAAGTCCTATTACATTTCAGCACTTCATCGGGCATTTCATCATCACTACTTAAACTGTCTCTCCTCAAACTTGAGCGATAATTTTTGGAAGCGTTCATATCATTACACTTCGTACTTAATTTTTTATCCATTGACAGTAAGGAGTTTTTCTTACTTTGGGAGGAGCTACTTCCATACCAAGTTTCTGCCTCCCTTTCATCTGGCTTAGGTTTCTTGCTAAAATTTAGGTAATTATTTTTTGAAAGTGAGTGTGGGGATGGCCCAAGTAACATTTTCAAAATTTCAACATTGCCTAAATGAGCTGCTGTGCCCAAAGGGGTTCTGCCTGAGGGGTGTGTTGCGTTGACGTTAACACCTATGAAAGACAACGAGAAAGTGGTTATCAAACAAATATCCAAAGTGGAATCGTACAAGCACGTAGTACTGATGCTGTACCTTTAGTTAAGAGTGTTTGAACACTTCTAGCATCCCCTCGGTTTATAGCATGGAAAAGTCTGTCCTCCCAAGATGTTTCTGTGAATGATGAGTGCGGGGCATCTCGGTTGCCACAGGAGGCAGACTTTTTCGAGCAGCTACTCATGGTTGATTGAAAATCACCTTACCTAGGTTCATTTGAAATCTGCAAAGAACAGGATGAATGACATGAAAAACATAACCCTCTGGAGGCCTTTAGTGTCAAGAACTAAAGTACCCGGATGATTTCGTATCATTTCGATTGATATTTACTTACGTGGAATGGGAACCCACTCTAAATCTCTTTCGTAATACACACTAAAACAACAGAAAAGGGCCATTTATTATAGTGCAGGTAAGGCAAGGCAAGCAGACGATGGAAGCAGACAGCTTTTGTTTTTTGTTGTTGTTGTTGTTGTTGTTGTTGGTGGTGGTGGGGGTGGTGTTGGTAGTATACTACGTTTACACGGGGGAGCTAGCCTCGGTCAACTCGAGGGGTGGGGGAGTGGAGGGGGTAGGTCTCGAGCTAGCCGGGGTCAACTCACGCGCATGAACACGTAGGTGGGTCAACGAGTTAGACCCCTCGAGCTACCCTGGCTAACTCGTTGACCGAGGCTAACTCCAACGTGTAAACACCACAGGGTCAAGTGAGGTTAGGTGTGCGCAGTGTTTCTGAGGTGTTGTAAGCCCATCTTTTTTCTATTATTATGAATACACCTTTTAAATCTTTGGGAAAAAAACTTGGGAAGCAGTTTTCTGTTGTATGAAATCTTTAATTTACTTTTTTTTTATGAAATTTTTTTATTGATTTGATTTTTACCACTTGTAACTGATTGTTTCTGAAAAAAAAATATCCATTGTCTTTTGCGTAAAGCAAATTCGACCTGATTTCGACTTAAATTCGAAATTGTTTGCTATCTTGAGGTTAGAAAGTCACCCCAACAAAGCTCCACCGGCACCGCGTGAACACGACGTCTGCTAGCCCTGGCTGAGTGGTGTCTCCCCTCCACTCCCCCACCCCTCGAGTTGACCGAGGCTAGCTCCCCCGTGTAAACGTAGTAGTAGCGTAGTAGGAACGAAGCACCCGGCAGGGGTATGGTCAAGGTGGCGGCGTTGCCATGTTTCATCCACGGGTGCTCCGACCCGACCCCGGGCCCATCGGGACAGGACCCGAGGCCGCCCCCGCCCCCCGGGGCCCGAGCCAACTCCGACTCACTCCCCGACAACCCCACCATGGGAGTGAGTGGACAGGGGCTGTTCCCCGGGTCGGTCGTCTCCTCAGTTTTTACTTTTACCTTCATGGATCCAACTTAACTTGTGTTTTTGAAGGTATGCATGTTTCTTTATCTGCATAGTGTGTGTTTTCTTATTTCTTTTGACCTTTGTATAACTTTCCGCGTCTCTCGGGAGGCAACGGCGGAGGGAATGCCATTCAGAAGCTGTTTGTCTTGTGAACATTTTCTTTTACCGCGACTATTGTCTTAATTTTGCCGAATTTCCTTGCCTACTAGACCTCCGCCGTAGGTTGAATTAAGTTAAGTTCCTCTTCTCACTTGTTAATGGCCTTCAAATCGCCTTATCCATCGACGTATAACCTCAATTATTGTTTTCATGTAGAATTTGTTATATTGATGGTTACGTTGCATTTACATAGCTTTTAAATATTTGTTCCCTAATCTTTTATTTTTTCTTGGAATGTAGTTTTGTTAACCTACATTTTTGAACTTTCTTATTCCAAATGTTTTATAGGGACTGAGGAAAAGTTTGTAATTACTTACTAATTTGATTATGGTGCCATAGCCGCTGCTAAAGCTTTTATTAGCCTGAGAAAAATTTTGTGCTAACTTAATTTGCTGCTGCTCTACTCTAGTGATTGCTAGTCAGTCAAAATCTTGTATTATTATATCTGTTTTATTACCTAAATAGGACTGAAAAAAGTTTGTTAATTTAATTTGCCGATGCAGCCGTTGCTCTACTCTAGTTCTGATTGCTAGTAAGTCAATCTTGTGTTTTTATATCTGATTTATTGCCTAGATAGGACTGAAAAAAGTTTGTTAATTTAATTTGCTTGATGCCATCCATATATACAGCCGTTGCTCTACTCTAGTTCTGATTGCTAGTCAGTCAATATCTTGTATTTTTATATCTGTTTTATTACCTAGATAGGACTGAAAGAAAGTTTGTTACTTTCATTTGCTTGATGCCATCCATATATATATATATGTATACAGCTGTTACTCTTTCTGATTGCTAGTCAGTCCAAATCTTGTGTTTTTATATGTTACTTAATTTGCTTGATGCCATCCATATAGAGCCGCTGCTCTACTCTAGTTCTGTTTACTAATAAGTAAAAATGTTGCTTTTTACTACTTAAGTCTTTGTAAATTTAATTTTCCTATAAGGCCATCTCTACTTTGAATATTTAATTCTTGTCATAATACTCAGCTGACCTAGTCATGTTATAATGTGTTATTTTTCTGATGCGCTATCATTAGAATGTTTGTCTTAATTAAATATTTTTTCTAAGTATGTGCTTTTTACTTGTTCTTTAACCATATACCACAAGGTGGGGATCAATTGTCTAGGGTGGCGTGTAATGCAAGCCTTCCTAGGAAATAGCGCCAGCTGATCTTGGTAACATCACTATGCCACGAGAATGTAATGACTCATTGAAAAGCTGGGGAGAAGTTCATTCACCCATGAACAAACAATTTTTTGATTCATGAATTAAAATTGAGGGAAAAGACACAACACATGGACGCCCTAGAGCTATAGCTGAACTAGTTGACAAAATTTGGAGAACACAGGGTAAATATTATAGGCAATGTGGAGGCTAAGTCCAGCTGCAAATCTGAAAAACACTGAAATGACGGGACAACAACATGTGGCCCGAAGAATATTTTCAGACTGCTCAGCGTGATTCTTGACACGATTTCAATACACCAAGGTCTAGCGCGTCATCACAATAATTTGCACAAAGGTTAGGATGATCCCCAGGGAACAGAAAATTTTAATGAAAGATGTCAAATATCATGGTCACTTTGTCATTTCAGGGCATGCAGATGATTTAATTGACATCAATCAATTGGTATCTCTTGCCATTTTCCCAAAAACGGACATTGTGACATGACTTGGACTGAAATTGGATCATATCACCTTGAGTCACTTTTGAAAGATACGACTAAAACCCATCATTTACTTGTCATCAGACGTGAAAGTGACAACATTTCATTTCGGAAAAGATCTTCTTTAGTGGCCGAGCGCCGAGCCTTCGCGCGGCTCGGATGGCCGCGACTCGGCAACACCGCTTTTTGCTTGGTCCGTACCTTGACCATACCCCTGCCGGGTGCTTCGTTCGCGTAGTAGTGGTGAGTGTCAAATTTCTTCGGCTGATAAAAACAACAAGTAATTTAGAATGTTTAGAAATATGACTGAATGTTATCAAAATTCATAGCTCATGACTTTTCTCCTTTTCTAAAACTTTTAAGTATGTCTTTCTTTCAAAGTCTTTCTTTTTTTTACGTTGGTGTCTCTGATCGATAGTATCGAATGTTTTTGTTTACATAAGAACAGCTGTTGTTTACTCGCTCAAAGCAGAGCAGAAAGCAAGCAGAAAAGGCATTATATGCCTTTGCTTATAGCTTGATTCGTTTATGATGTTGATGGCCATTTGCCTTTTATTGTAAGGCAAAAGTGCAGTCCCACTTTCTTTTTATAGCGGCTTCTGTCGATTTCGTTTTGGCCTCATGCCAATAACCTCATCAGATAGCCGCCCATAAGTTTCTTATTTGTTTTTGAAATTCCGTGCTGTTACACAACACAAAAAAATAATCCAGTCTTGCTCTGTGCTCTGGAGAAACACACCAAGCGAATGGATCCCAAACTGAACGTCAGCATTGGGGACGAAGATAGTGTCAGAGTTAATTCGAGTGCCATAATTTTTGACAATGGCAGAGTAAGTAGCTTCTTGAATTCCCTTCTGAACAAATTATATGAAATGGAATGTGGAGTTGAACTGAGTTTTTCAAACACGGAAGTAAGGATCTTCCAACTGTCAACTTTTGCAAGTCTTATCTATTTTCTAACATCTGTCTTCAGCTTTTATGGATGACACATATTGATTTCTCTTCCCATATTTCTTGCTAGCAAAATTTTTTTCAACCTGCATTTCCTGTGTGGGTGTGGTGTGTAGCTGTTGCTTCTTGTGGCGTCAGCCTGGGGGTCGTGTTTCACCTGACCTTCTGAAGAGCTTAACTCCCACCATAATCTTATTATGCCCCTTCCCTCCCTCTGGTGGCACATTCAACCAAACCAGCAGAGGTGTGTTGAATACCATTTAGTCTGTTTCTTAGGTGTCTCTGCGGAAAGTGTCTCACTAGTTCTTGCTTTAAGAAGTGTTTTCTTGGCTTTGAAGAACTTATTTATACCTTTTATTCACTGATCTTTCAATTCGTTATGTCTGTTGTGCTTGACAATGGCAGACCAAGTAAACCTAATGTGATCAAACTCACAATCAAACTCACCAAAACAGAGGAAACCGTAACAGATTCTTACAAGTTAGGGCAACGACGTAGTCGCAGTGTGGGTCGAGGTCCAGCTTTAAACAGACCACTAAATCGTTGTCCTACGAGAGACAGAAGTGTTGAATCACATTTGTTGTATCGAGCCTGTGCTACAGACTCATTTTGTAGGGCAGCGCAGGTACTTGAGAGCAGTGTTAGGAATGGAAAAATGAAAGATTTTTGTTTGAGTACAGTTAAATTTACGAAGTGTCATATATTTTATAACAATATAGGTTTTATTTTAATTTTCCTGCCTTTTTTGTGTTACAGCTGAGCTTTGTGGGTCAAGAATGTCATCGCTTACCATCGGTGCTTGCAAAACTCTATGGACCTAAAGTGATTTCTCTGGATCTCAGCTACAATTGCCTCACCACATTGGCTGGAGTTGAACAGTTCCCAAAACTTGAAGAACTTGTTTTAGACAACAACCAACTACCAGACAGCACAACGATTCCCTCATTACCGAATCTTCACACCCTCTCGCTAAATAAAAACTGTGTAAGTGCCTCTTTATTAAACAATTTGGACCTTTAAAAAGCAAATGCAGTACAGCAACAATTTGACTTTTAGATTATCAACTTGGATCTATTGATCACAAAAATTGCCCATCAGTTACCAACTTTGCGATACTTAAGCTTGCTTGGAAACAAAGCTTGCCCAAATCAACTCTCAGATCAAGATAAAGATGAAGAAGATTATCAGCGCTACAGGTAAAGTTGTGTTAAGGTATGGTGTTCATACGATTCAAAGTTCTTCATGAGACATTGCGGATTTGCACAGGTATTATGTCATTCACCATCTACCAAATCTTCACTTCCTGGATTCAAGCCAAGTGAGCGCAGCAGAGAGAGAAGAGGCTGTGAGGCGTGGGCAGTTCATGCGTATAATGAGACCGGTAAGAGACTCTCCGCGTTAACGTTTGGGTGCGGCTTAACTTCATATGTGCCTTATACGGGTGGAAATATTTTATTTACGATCCTAAGCTTGCCGTTTTTTGTCTTTGCCTTCAAGAAAAACACAAATCCAGAAGAAGATACATCATCTCAACGCAGTATCTATACTCCCTTACCTAGTACAAGAAGAGATGGTGGAGATCATCAAGGTCTGCATAGTTACTGAACCAATGTCTCAAAACTCGTTTTAGGTGATTTAATTTGTCCTAAGTTTAAAACACATTTTATGGTTTGCAGGTGCATATGGAAGATGTCGCTACAGGTATTCCGGAAAACATTCGGAAGGGAATCGATTTATCCAGAATAGTGATTTATAAGGTAGCTGTACGGCAATAGTGTTTATCTTCGAAACTTCCAATTTATTTTGTATATTTTTCTTGACTCTTTGATTATATGATTCTGTTGTACATCTTAGTTGAATATTTCCACATTATTCAAAACTTTATTTTTAAATTTGAGATTCTGTGATTCTTTTATTTTAGGAAGTAAAACATTGATTTAATAATATGTTAAAGCAGTGAAGTTACTTCCTTTGTTTGTATGCTGTTGGATTCCCTGATTTTCACTTGTGCTGTGTGCAATTCATTCATGTCTTCCTATGCTATAGGAATATCTATGTGTTTTATTACATGATGACTGCCAAGTCCATTCTTTTGTGCCAAAAAACATTCTCATGGAGTTGGTTGCCATATTGTTTTTGTTTTGTGTCTGGTCAGTGCTTTTTTAGAATCTGAATGTTTTAAAGCATCTGCAGTATTATAACTGATGAAATAATGAAAAATTACTCTCATTACATTTCTGTCTATTTGAGTGTATCAGTAGTTCAGGTATCCACTTCCTGATTGTACTATGTATTTGTGTTGTCGCTAAAAGTCATGTCAATCCCTACATGACATATACTAATGATTAATGATGTTAAGTTTTGCGGAATTCTTTCAGCCTGTTTTATGGCTCGTTATAAAAGGCAAGCCTTGTCACTCATCCAAAGACTAGGTGTTAATTTTATCATTTGACAGGACTGCTTCATAATTATACTATTCAAATAAAAGTCTGCTTGTCTGAGTACATTATTACCTAATTTTAAATTACCTTTACTGCAAAGAAGTCTTGCACAGTCTCCATATCAGGAGATTTGAGAAGAAAAGGAAAGACCAGACAACCTTTGCGAACTTCTCTTTAATTCTTAACAATACATTGTAACAAATACAGCTGTAACTGACTCTAAAGAGCTCACAGTTATTTAAAATTTATTGCATAACAGTCAATCAGAAATGAAACTAACACAGTAACAATTTAATTTATTTGACTGGGCCAATTGTATGTTAAGAAAAAAAAGAGAATCCTTATTTGAGAGGTGGAGCAGATATACTAGGAGGGATGTAGATAATTTTGCCTAGACTGCTGATAAATGCATCCTTTGACAGTTACAGTCACTGTGGTTGTTTATAATCGCCCGTCACAAAATTTTACCAATATTTTAACAAAGGGGAAAAGAAAAAAAACTAAATGCGTACTGATAGTACTATCTCATTCCATTCAGCAACGAAAAGCTTCAAGATTACCGTTACAACTTCAGCGAGTTCAACTCTCACAAAGTGGTAAACTGTCTGAAATTCGCTGAAATTCCTCTTGAGGTGATTTTAAAAAACAAAAAACTGTTAAGCATTAATTTTATGCATGGCTCCATACAAATACAGCATACTTTAAATTATGATCCATACTCCTGAGCCCATAAAAACTTGCAATAGTAAGTTTTATTCTTGACTTATGGCTTTCCATAACAGGTAGAATCCTATGTGAGCTCTCTTTGACTAGTGGTTTGAAGCATCTACTCCATTGCTAAACTTTGCTGTTTATGATACTCTTGTTGGTAGTGAGCATAAATTGGATTTTCCTCTAGGTAAATAAAATGTCCATTGTAGAGAGACAAGCTCTCCAGCTGACAATTTTTCTGTTTCAATCTTGTCCCACTTACCCAGCTGTCTGCTATGTGGCTTATTTAGGTCACATTCACAACATCAACAACAACAAAAAAAAGAGTGCAATGGATTGAAACCAATTAGTGTGATATTTAAACTTTTTCTTAACTTTAATGCATTTACCTATCTAAGTAACAAACACACAAATCTATTTGACTAATTTTAATAGCTTTATACATTCCTATCGCTAATAGGCTTAGATATTAGGAGCTCCCTTCCAAACCCTCTAAGATCATGTCTACAACAGTTGATATCATAAGAGATTTTATGAAGAAAAGATTACGTTTTATGAAAGAAGTCACCCTGCATCAAATGAATTCATGAATATTATTTTTTAGATTTATTTGAATTTAGTGATTGCTTGTCCAGCAGGGTGACTGAAAAAAACTCCTTGATTTTTCAAATAGCAAAAGGACATCGACCACTTAAATTAAGACTACTATGGAACCAAGAGGAAACTTACAAGCAGCACCAATATATTGTCAGAAATCAGTGCAAACTATGGTGGTGGATGGTGTTAATTTATGTCTCTCAAATATAATCCATCTCAATCTGAGTTAGCTTAAATAACTCTAGATTACTTATCTACTTGGAAAAAAGAAACTCTTGCTTTCAGTGCTGGGGTGTCATTTTGCACTAGAAAACTCCAACTCTTGAGAAGTTACTTCTCCAGTACAAAGTATATAGTAATCAGGCAAACACCAAGACCTGAATGATTTTCAAGGCAAATGATTATTAAATGTTCTATTAAGCCCTTGTGGCCCATAAGGTACAAATTAGGTCCTCAATTTCTTCCTTATTTAGACAAGCTTTTCCTACCATCGTGATTCCATTAGGGTGAAATGAGTCTTGAGCTGCACTCTACGTATTTCGCACACACATACACACACACATTCATACATACTCACGCAACGCATACATATTCACATTAAACAAACACAGCAATCTCAACATATGTGCTTTGCACTTAATCTGGCTCATCTCAATACCAGCAAAAAATAAAAACAGACAACTATAAAACACAAAATAATTGAATGTGCCATTGTATAGTGCAAAACTCAAATTATCCATTGTTATATTCAACCACTATCACATTGTCAGCTTTATGCCGACATTTTCTAACTGTTCTCAGTCATCTAAACTGTCTCACTGGGAAACAAATTGTGTTTCAGTTCATTGGGGCATCATATGCAGATTTTAAACTGCTTGTAAAGCTTGGATTAATGTAAACTTAATACTGTCTAGCAGAAAATTCATTTTAAACTCAGTTTCACTGCAATCACAATTACAAAACGTTGCATGGAGTTCTGAGTCTACATATGAATGAGGCAAAGATACGGCAGTTTTCGAGCACACAGAGTGCCATGATTTTTGTCTCTCGTTTACTACATGTACGCTTAGTAGTAAGTTTCTTTTTCAAGCCAGCCTCCTGGGTTTCTGCGAAGGATGAACTTGCGCACTTCATCATAGATCAAAATGCTGACCATAAACGGCATTGGAACAAACCACCATGACCAACTGCAAAAGGTAAGGTTTTTCTTAGGATTAATTGATTTTTGGAATGAATGATCAACAGTCGAAAAGGTATAAAGACTTCACTTACTGAAGAGGATACATGCGAAGCCCTTTATCCATGCCTGGAGTGTATGAAAGGAATGCTGCCAAGGCAGTCTCAAACACTAGACCAAAGTTGAGAGCCCAGTTCCTGAAAACACAACATTACTTTATGAACTACAGAGGACATGAAATGATGCAATTATGATCTCCAATATTAGAGAGAAAAAGCTACCTCATTCCTTGTGTGAGAAGAGAGTTTCGCCTAGTTTTGCAAATAATCAAGTCAGCCCACTGTACAATGACAATGGCGACGAAAAATGCTGTCTGGCAAGTGTATTCAAGGCGCTTTCGATCCCTGTAAGTCTGTTGAAAAAAAAAGTTTAATTTTTCTTATTAAAAAGATTTTCTGCAAACCCCACAAAATTCTGTGGGTGGTGTAATTTTAATTTTAACATTAAATTTAGCTTATGAGCTTGTCTTACCCATTCTTGACCATAAGAATCAGGAAGGTCGTTGATTGACTTAGCATCCCATCTCTTTCTGATGCTAAGAAGATCCCATGGAAGGAAACCATTTTGGGACATGATGACAAAATACATGAAGAAACCACCAACAGCTTGGATCATACCAATTTGGGCATAGGACATAGAAATCAATCTGAAAATAAGATTTTGTTTTTCCAAAATAAATTACAGCTGATTTTTTTTAAAGCTCATGTTAAACTTAGGTTTCAACTTCACTACATTCCTTACCTTGAGTTTACTAATTTGTCTGAAGCCAAGAAAGGATTTCTAGGAGGGCGCTTCATGATGTCTGATTCGGCTTCTTCATAAGCCAAAGAAATAGCAGGAACCTGCAATATAAGTTTATTTATCAATTAATTGTAAAATTGTGTAATTGCACCCCTTCTTGCTGTCTAGAATTTCATACAAAACTTACCATGTCAGTACCTAAATCAATACATAAAATAGTAATAGTGCCCAAAGGCAGGGGAATGCCAATCAAAATGAACATAAGGAAAGGCGAGATTTCTGGGATGTTTGAGCTCAGAGTGTAGGCAATTGATTTCTTCAAATTGTCAAAAATTAAACGTCCCTCTTCAACACCAGTTACAATGGACGCAAAATTGTCATCCAACAAAATCATATCAGCAGCTTGTTTGGAGACATCAGATCCGGCAATGCCCATAGCGACACCTGTGCACCATAAATACGTTTTTCAATACTTTACCCTCATACAAAATAAATAACAACAATTTACTTAAATTTTTAAAACTAAGAAACAACAAACATTGGACAGCACTTACCAATGTCAGCCTTTTTCAAGGCAGGAGAATCATTCACACCATCTCCAGTCACAGCAACTATAGCGCCAAGACGTTGGCAACCTTCTACAATGATCAATTTTTGCTGAGGAGATGTTCTGGCAAAAACAATTTCTGAGTGATTCCTGATAATTGAAGAATACGTTTTAATAAAAAGAATAAAAATCAGAATTGTAATTTGATACACAAAGGGTTTGGTGAATTTACTTACTTGAGGATTTCATCCAGTTGATCTGAGCTTAAATGACGAAGCTCCATTCCATGAACAACAGCAGCTTTGGCATCTCTTGGATTAACATCAGTGACACTGACACCTAATCTTTCAGCAATATCCTCAACAGTCTCGTTACCTTAAAAAAAAAAGTAAAAAAATAATTAAACATAAAATGATTATGTTGATTTGGAAAATAAAACTAAACATTGGACAATACTGAATGACTGGGAATAACTTACCATCAGATATGATACCCACAGATTTTGCAATGGCTTTGGCTGTAATAGGATGGTCACCAGTAACCATGATTACTTTGATACCAGCAGAGCGGCATTTCACAACAGCATCAGGTACAGTGGCACGGGGGGGATCAATCATTGACATTAGACCAACAAATCGAAGTCCAGCTAGTGGGAAGTTGGGATTGTCGCCATCAAAGCTGAAGCCTTTGGGGAACTCCTCAGCTGGTAGCATGAAGTCACAGAATCCTGGAATTATAAAATAACACACAGTGTATCAAAAAATATAAAGAAACAATTGGGAGAAATGTTTTTGAGAATAACTAGAAAAAGTTAGCGTAGTGAAATGGAATTTACCAAGGACTCGCTCCCCAAGTCCTCCCAATTCGAGGTAGGCAGAGTTGAAAGCCAATTTAAGTTCCTCATCAAGGGGCAGATCTTTGCCATTCATGTAAATAGAGGAGCAGCATTCAAGAATTCTCTCTGGAGCACCCTTCATGACCAAAATATGCCTGGGATCGGATTTGTCCTCATTTTCATGAATAGAAACCTGAGAAGATTTCAATTAAACAATGAGAACAGATTCAAAACAGATACATGGTGACCTTAATACCAAAACGCACCTGATACTTGTTTGTTGAATTGAATGGAATTTCACAGACTTTCTTGTTTTTGTTTCGAATGGCTGAGACATCTCCAAGGGCCAGCTCCATGCATTTAAGAATAGCAGACTCCGACGCATCACCATTCACCTCCCTTCAAAACCCGCCCCCCAAAAAAATTTAATTAAATTTCAATGCAAGTTTTAAATTTTTGATACACATATTTTAAAATTATATGTTAATGTTTTACCGTTTCAAAACAGGAACGCCCTTTTGACCACCTTTAAATTCTGCTCTATTGCACAGACAACCCACTCGAGCTAATGCCTTGAACCCAGAGCTGGTTTTGTCATACTGTACACCTGCAAAATATCATCCGCATCTTCAGCATTCTTCATAGCAGTAATCAAGTTAATTTATGTCAGTTAAATTACTCCAATAAGCTTACCTGTTTGGTCCTCAGTGGTGTCAGCCTCAATGATTTGATTGTCAAACCACATGTGAGCAACAGTCATACGATTCTGAGTAAGGGTGCCTGTCTTATCAGAGCAAATTGTGGAAGTTGAACCCAGAGTTTCAACAGCCTCCAAGTTCTTCACAAGACAGTTTTTGGACGCCATGCGCTTAGCAGTGAGTGTGAGACACACTGTCACTGTTGCTAGCAGACCTTCAGGTACATTAGCAACAATAATACCTGAAAATTTTAAAATTAAAAATTAGGCCTTTGTATTGGAACTGTATAAAAAGAAAACACTGAAAAAGAAAATATTTGAACTAAAATTCTCACCAATTAGGAAGACAACAGCTTCAAGCCAATGATATCCAAGGACAAATGCAATAATGAAGAAGGAAACTCCAAGGAACACAGCCACACCAGTAATCAGGGTGATGAAGTGGTGAATTTCTTTGGCAATAGGTGCCTCACCAGTTTCAAGACCAGAGGCAAGACCAGCAATGCGACCCATTACAGTGCTATTACCGCAGCAGATGACAATACCCCTGGCAGTACCTGCAAAACCAGAAGAACGTTTCAAGAATGATCAGGAAAAGTCCTTACAAAAATACAATGGCAGCAATAAATAAAAGTTTTTGGGAGTGTACCTTCAACGGCATTTGTTGAGAAGAATGCGAGGTTCTTTGTTTCCAATGGGTTTTCATTGGAAAATTCAGTGTTACGGCTTTGAGGTTCAGATTCACCAGTTAGAGATGAGTTATCAACTTTAAAGGCGCGGCATTCAACTATACGAATATCAGCAGGGATACGGTCACCAAACTTGACCTCAACAAGATCGCCTACTACAATTTCTTCAGCTCTGATACTAAGGGTTTCGCCTCCACGGATAACAACTGCGGTCTGTAACAAGAACATCATAATTTATGTTTCTTTACACCCTCTTACTATACTCTTTAAAAAATGTCATAGATTTACTTACCTGAGGAACCATATTTTTAAAGGAATCCATGATCTTTGAACTTTTGCTTTCTTGATAGTAAGAAAAGATGGCTGTGACAATAACGACAGCAGCCAGAGTAATACTAAGGTACAGCTGCAATAATTTAATGGAAAAAGATGTTAGTAACAGACAAAAAAAAATCCATTGAGAAAATTGAGGGTATTGCCACTTACGTTGTCCTCTACAGGTTCATCTGATTGTGAGTACTCAATAGCATAGGCGATGAAGCAAAGGATGGCACCAATCCACAGGAGCATGGAGAAGCCCCCAAACAGCTGCTTACAGAACTTGATCCACTCGGGGGTTGTTTTTGGAGGGGTGAGTGAGTTGGGGCCATCGCGCTCCAAATACTCTTTGGCTTTGGCTGCAGTGAGACCCTGGTAGAGGTAAAAGTACAATTTAAAACACTGTGCATAATGGCAATGCCGTCCAAATACCCCACAAACATAGCAAAACAAGTCTATACCTTGGTACAATCGGTCGTGAAACGACGGCACAGCTCGTCGACACTGATTTTGTGAAAGTCGATGTCCAACTCCTTCTTCAAGTCCTCCAACTTCTCCACCTTTTGCTTGGGCTTTTTCTGCAACACAAACAATACCAACATATTAAGGACACGTCAGTCTGAGAGGAACATCGCACGGCCGGTGACGACGAGGCCCACTACACTCGTCGATTCGCTAGCGAGCTTAGAGAAGAGCGCCTGGAGGTAGGCCACCCATCTGGCACCGCGCAATGCGAGCAGCGTCTAAGCAGGATGGGTGGCCTGCCTCCCAGGCGCCCTCGTTGCGGCTTCCGACTCTCAACAGTGATTTCGCGAATCTTCAGCGACATTCACACACAGAACCGCGGTACGGCGGCAACGCCATTTCATTCATTCGCCACCCGTTCGCGTCCGCCGTGCATCGCGCCCACCTTCTTGACGTTGGCGGGAGGACGGCATGGGGGTGGCATGTCCGCGGCGTGGCATGTCCGATGTCTGCGGCGGCGAGCCCACCCCGACGGGGCCCTCACCGCACGCCAGCACGCCACTCCGCACGCGCCCCCGTCGCGGTCCGCCCCCAAAGCCTTCCCCCGCGGGGCCACGCGTGGTGGCGCGGCGTAGCGTGCGGGTCTCCTTAGCGTCCGCGACGAGAATAGCTCAACCATCGCCCCGCCGAGCCCCACGGCCCACGGCGCCCACCCCGCCGAGCCAAGACGGCCAAGCGATCCAAGGGAGCCACGGCCAAGACGACGAGCACGGCCAGGACGGCGAGGACTACCCGGCCCGTTGCCGGGGTGGAGTATATCGACTGGGCGTCCGGGCGGACGGGTCTGTCGGGGCCACTGTCACCATGGGTTATTCAGTGAAGGTCGGTTGCCACTTCCCGACGGACTTCCAGGAGTCCGTCGTCGTGCACAACGTCTTCAGTCCTCATCGACTCCGGCCGTGGCCGCGGGGCCGTGACCAGACCTCTCCAGCGAGCACGCAATCCAATCCCATCCGCAAAGGATCGACGGATTAGCCCGCATTGAGCATTTCCCACCAGCAGACTGATTCCGAGAGTCGTTTCCGACGCCCTGTCTCCCTCGTAACTATATGGGATGCCGGATGCCCCATGCGTGCGAGAGAGACAGAACGACGAAACGACTCTCGCAGTCTTCGGTGGAAGCGGCCGAAGTTAGAGACGCGTTTTGAGCTCCAGAGTCGCTTGTCAGGACTCGAACCGAGCGTGTGACCCCACCAATGGATCCTGCGTTAGAAGCACAATCCATTGGTGGGGGTCACACGATCGGTTCGAGTTCCATTAAGCGACTCTAGAGATCATAACGCGTCTAGAATTTTGGCCACCTCCACTGGTCTTCTGGCACTGTCACGAGTGCGAGCGAGATGGGGAGAGAGCCTGCTGACTCTCGGATAACGCGCGGGGAATTGGCGCGGGCCGCCGGCAGATGCACCCGTCTCTAGCGGCGGCGGTCCAGACAGCGAGAGCCCAGCGCCCAACCGAAGACACGTCAGCGCCCAGACGCGGGAAAAGTGACTGCTATATTTACCCCGTTCCGTTCGCCTCGCCGCCTTGGCCCACCTTGGTGGGGACGCTGCGTTTTGGGCAGCGCCTGTTGCAAAAGCCGCTGGCTGCCGCCGGCCTCCCTCCTCCCCCATGCCAGCCCTGTTGCTGCACAGGCAGACGTACGCGGGCTGGCGGCGTGCTGGCGGCGTGCTGGCGCCGCGCCCGGCCCCTCCGTACAGACCCAGAAGAGTCGTCTCGTCGCTCTGTCTCTGTCGCACTCACGGGGCTCTCCGTGAGGGTGCGAGCGAGACGGAGACAAACCGATCTTCTGAATCGCTCGCTAGGTCGAGGCGGTGAGGTAGCGGCGGTAGCGGTGCAGGTCTTTACCCCTCCGCAGTGCACGCGAGCTGTTGCTGTTGAGTTCCGCGGCGCGCCGAGCGAGGGGACCCTTCCTTCCCTTGTCAAACTGATGACGGATCCGGCCGACGGCCCTTGGCTGCGGCCTGATTACGATCCTGGCTTTCGTCTCTGTCTCTCTCACTCACGCATCCGCCCGCATGGGCCTGCTGCGGGCGCCGCATCAAGCCACATAGTGGCACCAAGACGAACGCGTTTCAGAGTGTATACCTCTTCTCCTGTCGAGCGAGTCGGAAAGGATCGTTCTGTCTCTGCCGCTCTCGCGAGGCAACTCGTTGAGGTGCGAGAGAGAAGAGCGGCGAAACGATCCTTCGGGATCGCCAGTCAAGCATGGGAAGGGCCGCGACGGAGCGCCGCGTCGTCACGCGTCATTCGCTATTCGGCGGAGGGCACTTCGTACTTCGTTACGGCGGACTGGGTCCTGTGTCGCGGGGCGACTCTGTCTCTCTCGCACTCATACGGGAGTGTGAGCGAGTCGGCAGCACTAGGGCACTGTAGGGCGGTGTCGCGACACACGCGAGGACGCCACGCAGTCCGGTGTAGGCTGACGCGGGTCTCCCCGCCCCGGAGGCTCTGCAATGCAGTCCCGCCTAACAGGTTCGCGTGGCGGGCGGCCTACCCTGCCCGGCGGAATGGCGCCTGCCTGGCCCGAAATGGCATACGATCATGTGTGGTCTAGCCCTTAATGGTAATGGTGCCGGCAGGCCTGCCCGCCACGCAGCGCTGTCCGACGGGCTGCCTCGCCTCCTGCCCACGGCGTTTCGCTTCGCTCCGCCAGGCTCCGCGCAGTGCAGTGGCAGTGCCAGTCCCGCACGCTGAGCAGCAGACTGATTCCGAGAGTCGTTCTCGTCGGTCTATCTCTCTCGCACTCACGAGGCATCCCGCGAAGGAGCAGAGAGACAGAGCGACGAAAACATCCGCGATCGTCCAGGAGCGACCTCGGACCTCGGGTGGCGGGGCGCTGCACAGTGGGCCAGAAACCGACGCAGGCGGCCAAAATTCTAGGCGCATTTTGAGCTCCAGAGTCGCTAAATGGGCCTCAAACCGAGCGTGTGACCCCACCAATGGATTCCTCGTTCAGAGAGCAATCCATTGGTGGGGTCACACGTTCGATTCGAGTCCCATTTGGCAACTCTGGAGCTCGAAACGCGTCCGGAATTTTGGCCGCCTGCGCCAGTTGCTGGCCCACTGTGCGCTCGGCGGTCACTCGGGCACCACGTGGCCGGCCAGGGTCAGGTGCGGATGCAGGCGAGGCGATGGGGGCATCGTCCCGCCCGACAAGAAGGCAGCACGTCGCACTTCACCCCTGTAGGTTGGCAAATTTAGCGACATCGTCGCCCCCCGAAGTCGTCTCTAGATCCGCCCTCGCGGGCCGCCGCGGTGCACGGCGCGGGTGGTCGTCCCTAACAGGCGGTTGATGAAGCCAGCGAGCGCTGCCGCTTTGGCTACTTTGTTGCGCAACTCAGTGCCCGGCGCTGCCGACCGAGCCGCTCTCTGATTGAGCTCCATGACGTCCATGACGGGCACGGCGGGCTGCACAGAGAGGACCGCGGAGGCGGCGGATTCGGACTTGTATTCGGAAATCAATCATCGCGGGTCAGCAAAAGAGTGCCGATAACGCGCGGTCGCGGTCGAGGCGGACAAACACGTCAACCAGGAAATTGCCCAGCACCCCGTCGCCGCCGGGGGGCTTGGAGAAACTCGGAGAAGAGTTTCGCGTTTATTCTTTCTTTTCGGGGTTTCCTGCATTTGCCATGCAAAGCTGGCTAAAAGTAAGTGCACTGCGGCGGCACTGCGACACAAGGCCGCAGGCCTGCACGGCATGGCACGGCACGGCACGAGAAGGTCAACCAGGACAACAGTTCGACCTGCAGCACTGCATTCACAGGATCGAAGTCGGAATCGCGGCTTGTATCTCTCGGCGCGGCCAGCCGCGCGGACGTGACGACGACGACGGCGACCGGCTGCCGAAAAATGCGATCGCTTCGGCGAACGCTCGTCCGCTTATCGCGGAGCGTGGCACGCAGTCCAGGTGTCGGGGCGGGGCGTGCTGGCGGGGCACATTATCATGTTGGTACTGAACTCGCGGGACCATTTAATTTAGATTTATCGCGGCGGCAGGGCCAGCGCGCCGGGCGCGCCCTCGTGCGGTGGCTTCTTTTAACGCCGGCAAACACAACGAAACGAAGGTGCAGCAGTGTGGTGGATCTGATAGGTCGGCGCGTTTATGTTCATTACGGTGTGGGTGTCGATATCACGCCGCAGTGAGTGCATTAGCGGCACGTGGCTCGGCGCCGTGCGAGGCGTCGCGTGTCCGCACTCCGCACCGCTCCGCGCCGAGCGACGCCAGGGCCAGGAGACTGATTCCAAGAGTCGTTTTGGTCGCTCTGTCTCTCTCGCACTCATGGGGCATCCCGTAGAGGTGCGAGAGTGACAGAGCGACGAAAACGACCCTCGGAATCAGTCGACAGGACGAGGACGTTCCGTGCGGGCCACGCGGCACGCGGCACACGGACACGAAGCCCTCTAAGGAGTCCAAAGAGTACACGGAGTCTGCAGGAAGTGTTTCATTCGGACGGTTTAGACGCGGCCGCCTCCAACCGCTTCGCCGCGCGGCGTGCGGCGTGCGGCCGGCCAGCTGGCCCGCCCGGCCTGGCGACTCGTTGGCGGCGAGGACGACGAGGACGACGAGGGCCTCGGGGAGGACTTGCGGGAACGGGCAGAAAGGAGGAAAACTGCCGCCACTCCGAAATTGATTCCGCCGCCGCGGTCGATGGTGCCTCCGAGCCCCAAGCCCCGAGCCCCAAGCCCTGAGCCCTGCCCGGCGGCCTGACGCACGTCTCGGCCGACGGCTGGCCCATTCCGAACAACGCCTCGTCGCTCTGACTCTCTCGCGCCCCCACGGGACGCTCCGTGAGTGCGACAGTGACGGAGCCCTGCTTGGAAACAGCCTGCTGGTGGCCGCCCCCTTCGGACCTTCGGCCTACCGCCCTCGGCCGGCCGGGCCACCGCCCCCGCACTGGGGCCGCGCCACTGCCCCCGCGGCGCGGAGGGCGGATGGCGGCTGTCCGGCGGGGGGTTGCTTGGTTCCCCCCCCCGGGGCCCCCGGTGGTTCGCGCTGTTCGCGTGACCGACGTACATCAGCGCAATCTAGCGGCAATCTAGCACAACACAC